GTTAAGTATTGTGATAATATCGTATCGTGGGATGTATGGTGATTCCCACCTCTAATGCATACGGTCATGACCTAATGTTTCATCAACCAGGACAACAGCCAGCAGGTCTCTTATATGTACATAATGTGAGCTCTGTTCAAATACAAAATCTATTCTTCGTTAAGATTTCAACTAATTATTATATTCATAAGCAATAGTTCTTCCAATGAGTGTTAATTTAGTCAATAAAACAAAACCATCACAGTATCCTATCCAGGTAATATTCGACTGTAATGTAAAACAAAGAAAAACTGACCACGTTTCAAATTATGGTGGTCGTCTTTAGACCCCAAAGACGACCACCATAACTCCAAACAGTTCTAATATAAATCCGAGGAATTCATTTGGAAACTTTTGACTAGTGTGAACTTTACCTGAAAAAATTGACCAAGCAGCGGAGGTTGGTTTCTGGGCTGACCGCCTCTCCCTCATCCGAGACCCCCTCAGCAGAGTCCAGCATGTTGGGCCCAGATACGGTATTTGCCTTCGCTGAGGAGAGGGACGACGAAGCAGAGGGGGTTTTGGATCTACAGCTGCTACTGCCCCCCCGGCCCTCTCTGTCCCTCTGTCGCTCCCTTTCTCTTGCTCTCTCCGGCGACTCTTCCCTCCGCTCCAGAGAGTACTGTCTCTTTGTATCCCGCGTCTCGCTGCCCGATGAACGCCGCTTGTGCGTGGGCCGATTGCTGTTATGCAGGACTGCCTCGGGACCTAAACCGATTCCACCTCCTGGTTTACTGCCTCCGCCAAGAGATGATGGCGTGGTCCCTCGCTCCTCAAAACTAGTGTCCAGGATGCGGTTGGAGAGCTCCGTCACAGGGGTGCTGCTCTGTGAGCGGTCCTGGTCAACCTCCGACATGCTTGGATGGAGCATCTGGTTGAGCTGAGTCTGGGGAAGGAGAAACAGTGGTTGTTGCCTCAGTTAGGAAACTACAGTAAAAGTTCCTCTCAAACTGGAATGCTCGCCATAGCCAACGTTCCTGTTGTACTTTCCAGTGTGCCCTACGTGGTTCTTCTTCCCGATGCCAGAAATGACGTCTTCGATTGAACTCAGTGTGTGACTTTCAAAAACATTCAACTTGTTCTTCAACTTCTCTCTGACTTCATACGTTGGTAAAACATGATTTATAAATACCTAAAAGTACAATGAAGCTCTTAACTTGTTGATAAATAAATAATTCACACTTAATTCATATTTTTTAAAACTAAAACAAGCTTCATATAAAACAATAACTAATTCAACATTTTGGTGACAGATCCAAATTTGTATTTCTGCAGCATCATCACAAAAGTTTAAGAGCACCAGTTATGCTCTCTAAGCATATCAAAGAGATGGTTAATGGGGAACTACTATGCATGATTCACAATGATCCTTATTTACAGCACTCCTATCCCTCAGAAACACTTTGAATATAACCCACCCACCCAAAGCCAGGGCTGGCAGCATGTTTAGCATCTGTGTTAGTAAATCTCCCCTTCACACTCACAATGGAAGTGAGCAGTGAGGGGGTGAGACTGATTTTAGCTCAATGCCTATAGCTTACCAGTTTTCTAAGTAAAAACGGGGGAAATTCTTACTGACTTGTAAAGCTGGGAAGCATCTTGTTGCCGGGACAGAAGAACGTCAGCAGATATTAACAGCTAATTCTACACAGTTTATAAAATATAATAACACTATAAAAACGCCTTTTATTACACATGACCTTAAAGTTAACCTTCTTCTTATTGACCATACCTTCAGATCAGTTTGTAAACTTAAGCTGCTTACACCAAATCAATGAATGCAGAGGTATATTTGTGGGTCGAGGTGTGGTTAAACACAAAATAATACCAGTCATGCATCAGAAAAACTTTTTAAAATCTTAGTATTAAATCTTATAGCACAAGGCTGCAATCTCAATGACCCACAGCAGTTCCAGCTTATTCTCTTTGAAATTTGCAGTTGTCATCAAAAACTCTTTGGTCACAGTGGTCATGCTCTACGTACTAACCAGAGAAGAGGTGTTTGTGTTCATAGGGGTGTGAACAAGTCCCAGCAACTCCTCCTTCAGCGCACTGGGAAGCAGCAAGAGCTCCATAGTGTACTTGTCATCCCTTTCCTCCACGAAGGACTTGAATGCTCGTTTTACGGTTGGTTCTGTGTCACATGGTAGACTTCGCTTCTCCTGGACAAAACACAAAAACACTTGAGTGTGTGGTATGACATGCTGTAGACTACTCCTTAAATAATTTCAAATGACTGTTAAGTCGTTTTTTCTAGAAAGCCCACGGCATTCCTTCGTACGTTTCATTTTGTCCCATCAACAGTTCAAAACAAAAAGGATTTGCAGAAAATCTTCACATTTAATTTACAACTATTCATCAGCTTTCCACAATATAAATGACCCCCCCTGGAGTCACGTAACTACTACAGAATGAAACTACGTCTGATAACAAGACTCGTACTTGGAACAGTGCTACAAACTGCTGAACTCGGCTTTGAGCCATCACCACGGGCTCGGCCCGACCCAACAGCCGCAGGCAGCCCGGCTCTTGCACCAGAACTTCAGCGCTCGTGTCCCGTATGAGCCTGTCCAAAAAAAGGCCCCTGGCGCCAGCAAAGATACAGTGCATATCCACCGGGTACCGCTCTTCTTTCTGCAGTTCTGGGTCGCACAGTCCTCGAACATATTCCTGCACAACAAGGAGAACACAAAGCTGTGAGTACTGCATTATGACTGCAGTGTTGCTTATCATCCATCTAGGAAAGAAAGAAAAAGGAACCAATCAGAATGACCTAATTTAACATATTTAGCAAAAATTAAAAAAAGAATATAAATATTTCACACAGTAAGTGTTGTCTCGTGCTTGACGTGCCCACACACCTGTAAGGTATTTAAGGTGACACGTGATGAAACCAAACTCTACTCACTGTTTTAGGGAATCTCCTGGCTGTGGCAACTGTTTGGATGAATCAGCGCAGGTGCGTGCGGTAACTTTCGTACAGATAGTGTTTCGCATTTTTTTTAGTGTTTCTCTGCCGATAAGAAGTGACTCAGCACGAGCAATGTATGGTGACTCAGTGATGCGGTGGGAGAGACAGAAAGGGTGTGAGATTTGAAAGTGAGCACGGCTATAAATATGTGGGCGTGGCTTCTTAAAATAAAATAACCAATAAAATGAGTTTCCTTTGGCCCTGTGTACAAACTATACAGGCTGAGAGTTCACTGCTGCTTATACTTTAGATTTTTAACAAGTAGAAATAATGATTGTATTTATAAAGGAGACTGTCAGGGTACAAGTGTTTGCCTGTGCTGCGTAAGGAAGCGCGCGTTTTCTCCAATGAAGAAATAAATGTTTCTGCAAAGATTTGAGCATTTTTTTAATTATTTATTTATTTATTTAATGTATTTTTGTTTACACATAATGAAGAAATACAAGCCCCATCTCCAGGAAGCTTGGACTGCAGCTCCTTGTTCTGCAGTCTCAGAGAGCTTTAGCACTTTTCTATCTGCTCTAAGTCCTGGTTGGAGTAGCACTCCAACTGTGAGTAAATCTCAAAATCAGTCAACAGCAATCCAGGACAAGGGTCAAGGACAATAAGGACCTGACCAGCTGGTAGTTAAAACACATGAAGGTAGGGCCAAAGCAAAAGAAGAAAAAAAAAGCAAGATAAGCAAAACTGGCCAAAGCAAAATAAGTAAGGCTGTCCACTGGTAACCCAGTCACAGAATCTAAACATGAGTGACCAACCCAAACAAACCTTTTAAAATATGAAGTATTATTGCATATGCTATAGTTCCTGATGTTAAAACTTATCACTAAGACTCTGTTTCCACACTCAATACATATTAATGAGTACCACTGAAAACTAAAAACAAACTTATAACAACATAAAGTCTAATGCCTCTCCAATGGATATTTACCAAATGTAAATCTAAGCCTAATCCATCTCTTCCTACCAGTTACCACAGTCCTGGTGGTACTGGAGGATACTTTTTACTAGCGAAAGAGTCCAAACAAACAGTGGAATAAACATTCCCATCTGCTCATTGCAAAGATAAAGAGAAAATGTGGCATCTGTACAAAAAAAAAATGTTACTGTAACCCACCTAAAATTTGCCTCATGAAAATGAACTGCTGTTTCCAAAGAATGTCAGTAGGTGGCACTATGAGATTGTTTAGTGCTTGTGAACTTGAGTCGATATAGAGAAGGAGAATAGCGCTAAGCCTACGTATGCTGGTCGGAGCTACTCACCGAGTTTTTCTTTAATCCTTGCTCAAGAAAAAGGTTATGAGTGAAGACACAAATTGAATCTTACTCTTCAGCTTGTTGGGAAACGCGGACACTTTTTGTTGATGCCGATGTACCTGTTTTTGTGGTTTTTGTTCATTTCCGGTGAGCTGACTAACTGCGCTAGCATAGCAAGTTAATCGTTAGCTAATCGTTAGCTTAGTATAATGTAAATTTCATGTGTTCCCTTTAAGTGCTGTATTATCTTTTTATTTCTTCACTTGTGAATGTTTTAAACCAGGCTAAAGCTAGTAGGTAAGTTTTATTTATTGTAATGAGATGATAAATATGAGCAGTCTTTGGCTAAATAGTACTGCGACCACGTTTTGCACTTTCCTCGTGCATCAGTAATGTACATTCTCTCAATTCACTGGATTGATGTGACTGCTGTTCACAAAATATGAGATTTGAGTTAAATTTGTATGATGTGGAAATTGTTTTAAGGTTCTTTGATTAATTTTATTATTGATTGCATTAAGTCGTTATATACAAAGAGTGAGGGGCATTTGGTCACTAGTGTTGATTAAGTTGTTATATTATATTCATGTAAAATATGTTCACTGCCCTGTGCAGGTTGTGTTTTTTGTTGGAGTCTAAAGTTGCGAACCAGGATTCCAGATCCCCGGCTGCGATGCAGGAAAGGTTTCCAGCCTACTTAGAAGTGACAACTGCGTTACTTCTTGACAGATAAGCTTATGAGATCTCAGAACAACAACAACACTGAATACACAGACTGACAAATATGGACTATTGGAACTGTTGTGAACTGTTGAATGACTGTTTTTGGTTTTGTTTTTGAATAAATGTTTACTGTTCTTTTAGCTGTGTGTCAGTCGCTCCTTAGTCGATTCCTAGAGAACATAAGCCCAAGATCCTAACTTTCTCTACATTCAGTAGTGGTAAAGTATCGTGTGTTACATTACGTCAATCATACAAGACGTCTAAGACTCTAGTACGCCTGGTCAGAATCACATGTTTGGACTATCGAAGGGAAAAAAAGAAATGCAGTCATGGGAAAAACAGTAGTGATTTCCCAAACTGGAGGAAATGCCAGCATCAACCTAATATAGTTAAGCGGGACGCCACTGACGACTTGCACATCATTCTTATCATGAGTTCAACAGGCTCACAGTGAAATTACCATTTCCACATTCATTTCTCGGTTGACTGGCAGAGCTCGGAGCAGCTGGTTACAGTGTGCCAAAAAGAAAGAGATGCATGACACAAGATGCAGAAGTGTGAGCGATGCTCCGGGAAATCACACAAAAGTGATCGGATTGAGATCAAGATTCAGATGTTTACAGATCCCTTGCATGACTAATTATACCGTAAAACCTCTAGAAACACATCACATGACTTTTAAATTGATGGCTGTGTAACAAGCTCTTTGGTTTCAGGTGAGGTAAATCAGTCACAATGAGTAATCTCTCTCCAGCAGTGGTGCTAAAGAGCGCTGCTCTTTCAAGTATTATTATTATTATTATTGATTTTTTATAATAACTTTTAACAAACTCTAAATTTTTATCCAAAAAAAGCTGACACTTAATGAGACGGTTATTTAAAAAGCAGATCATTACATACGTATTACAATTTTACAATAACAATGGCCCCACAAACACACAAGAACTTCACATGTACAATGTTTAGAAACCTAAAAACTGATATTTTACTCTCTTATTATCCATGACTTTAACCAGTTTTTGCAAGTTATTTCTTGTTTTGTTTTGCTAAGTTAGCCGTCTGCCTCATTAAAATTATATCTACAAATAACATACTTGCAAATGCAGAATAAAGGCGTCTCCTCTCTTTTCGTTAAGGAAAAGACTATACTGGCACTTAGTTTATTAGGTGCTAATTTCAAACTTTGCCAACTGTTTAGG